GACAACGTAAGATGTTTCATTCACCACGGGCGCACTTGCGAATGGTGCAAATTAAAGAAGAACAAGTGTGTGTTTCCACAAGGTGAAAGTTCGGGATCCACGGGGTCCAGTGAGGTCATCGACCTCCTACAAAAACTTTGCGACAAGATGGACGATTTCCAGGAAGGCTTGGAAAGGGTAGAGGGAAAGGTGGATTTCCTCGGAAGCCATGTCGATGACTTGGTCGACGATTTTCATGAGGGTAACGCTCCGGAATGGCCGTCAGATTTCGTCGAGGAGGAGTTTAGGGAGGAATGGGCGGCATCTAAGGTTGAGCTAGGAAACCTCAAGAACGTGAACTCGGAGGCCCTACGGATCGCGATGCATATGCGACTTGACAAGGACGTTGCCCAGTTGTGGAATGCCCATGTGACAGGTACCGAAACCCTCGATGCCACGGATCCCTTCAAGGTTGCCAACATGCAAGTTTGGTATGGCTGTCTTGGGAAAGACGGTCTTCGATTGGCCATCAAACATCGTGACCATTTCTTGGACACAAGGGACCAGTTCTATGCGCTCAGAGGCCGTCGGATTGAGTGGGCGTTGTGGAAGAGGTATTTGGAGGATGCAGACGAGTTTTTGGTAGAGGATTCCGAAGGGGAATTGGATCCCGAGGAGATGAAGAGGGATGAGATGTGCCCGGGCACGGGTGCCATCAGCGTTCCGGCACTGGATGAGCTGGAGCTTCTTGTTATGAGTGATGAGGAGGAGGAAGGAAGTGGAAGGGAAGATAGGGTGGACGAGGATGTGGTGATGGGAGAGTTGGTGCACGCGGAATCCTAGGCGCTCTTCTTGCACTTGTATATATTTTTTGGATGTTGTCTTGTACACGGATTTTGAAGCGCAGGCCCCGATGGGCATAAATATATATATATATTTTGGCTTGTAGGCTTGAGTGAGTAAGAGGGAGAAGGAAAGCAAGAAATAGGCGTCCGATGGGCTCTGTTCCCAATTAGGAAGGTAATTTGCAATAGTTTTCCAGGATTTGATTTGAAATTCGAGGAGCGGAGACCGTAGGGAGCCGATAAGTTATGAGTAGGTCAAGAAGCAATGGGCGAGGGTTTGAGGGAGACTTTGCGGATGGTGACTTTGGATAGCGGTCCTGGTTTGTCTGGGTAACGTTGGTGGAAGTCTTTTATATATTCGTCCGCGGAGAATTCTGTAGCGGGGATCCAGGCAAACTCTTCATCGGTACCTTCATAACCCAACCATTGGACTCGGTATAGGAGTGGACAGCAGAACCGACGGTCAAGTTTAGAGTCAAGGATTTGAGAGATCTCATACTGTTCCTCACCGTCGACTTCAACTGGAGGTGGTGGAGGTTGGGTATGGTTAGGGATAGTATTGGTCTCCACGGGTTCAAGTTGGGAGACATGGAACACAGGGTGAATGGAGCGGAGGTCCGACAGGAGTTTGAGAGTGAAGGAATGGGATCCTGGCTGAGCAATGATATTGAATGGTCCTAGGCATTTTTCGGCAAATTTCGCAGTAGGGCGAGTAGTTCTGATATGTTTAGAGCTGAGGTAGACCTTGTCACCTACTTTGAATTCAGGAGCCGGGGACCGCCGCTTGTCCGCTTGTAATTTGTAACGGGACTGAGCATAAGTGATTTCATCTCGAAGGAATTGGTGGAGCTCATTGAGGTTAACGATGAAGTCATGGGCCCGAGCGGAGGCGATGTCATGTTCAGGATGTACGGTGATATTGGGATGATAGCCTTTGTTAGCAAAGAATGGAGAGATTCCGGTGGAAGCATTGGGAGCGTTGTTGTAGGCAAACTCGGCAATGGGGAGTAAGGTATCCCAATTGTCTTGTTGGTAGGAGCAGTAGATACGGATGTACTGTTCCAGAGTTTGGTTAGCATGTTCAGTTTGTCCGTCGGCCTCCGGGTGATATCCGGAAGTGAAGTGAAGCTCCATATCCAAGGCTTTGGCAAGAGCACGTGTGAACTGGGAGACAAATTCGGAGCCGCGGTCGGATGTTATATGGTTGGGAACACCATGCTTAGCAAACACATGAGTAACGAATAACCGGGCCAGCTCCTCGGAATTGATGGTGTCATGAGTAGGGATGAAAATTGCTTGCTTACTTGCGCGGTCGACAACTACGAGGATAGCAGTGAATCCGTTGGAATCCGGTAGTTGTTCGATGAAATCCATAGAAATGGAATCCTACAGGTGTACTGGGACCAGCAAGGGTTTGAGTAAGCCAAAAGGGCGGTGTCTAGGTGTTTTGTTATGTCCACAGGTAGTGCAGGATTTAACGTAGTGGCGAATGTATTCACGCATCTGTGGCCAGGTGTAATTCCGTCGGACAAGTTCAAGAGTCCGATTTTGACCAAAATGACCTGCCAAGATGTGGTCGTGATTGTTTTGGAGAACGCGAAGACGGAGATCATCGGTGTCCGGGACATAAATGCGACTGTCAAGACGTAGTAGTCCTGATTCATCCACGGACCACCGAGAGGAGTTGGAAGGGGAAGATGCGAGTCGGAGGCCTTCGGTGGCAGCAGGATCCAACAGCTGTGCATTCTTGATATCAGAGTGGAGCTTGTCAATGTCCATGATAGCACTAGCGCATAAGACAGGACCTTCAAGGAATGTAGCGCAGAGTGAAGCGGAGAGTTGTTCTTGAGTGAAAACGGGTCGGAAATTGTGAGGATTGACTTGAGCATATTGACTATCCCCCTCTTTAGGGTAGACATCCCATCGTCTAGTGAGGGCGTCCGGTTTCCCACCAAGTTTCCCTGGTTGGAACTGAATAACGAGGTTGAATTGGGAGAGGAATTCGGACCAGCGCACTTGACGTCGAGTAAGGACCTTGGTAGTAGAGAAATACTCAAGGTTCTTGTGATCTGTAATGACGTCAACGGCTTCCGCGGAGCCTTCAAGGTAGTGGCGCCAGTATTTGAAAGCTTCGAAGATGGCTAGGAGCTCTTTATCGTGCGTATCGTAGTTGAGTTCGGCACTGTGGAGACTCCGGGACAAGAAGGAGATGGGATGGATCTCACCATCCTCAAGGTAAATGGATAGGATGGCGGCAATAGCGTAGTCGGATGTGTCGGTTTCCACAACGAGTTGACGGTCGGGAAGCCAGTGGGTGAGGATAGGAGCATGAGTAAAAGCCTGCTTCAACTCATTGAAAGCAGATAGGCATTCATCGTCGAATTTCCACGGAGTTCCTTTGCGAGTGAGTCGTGTTAAGGGCAGGACAATCTCACTGTACTCGTGAATAAAACGGCGGTAGAAATTAGCAAAGCTGAGGAAGGATTGGATATCCTTGACCTTGCACGGGACTGGCCAGTCAGTAATAGCTTTGACCTTGTCTTCAGACATGCGTAAGCCTTCGGGCGAGAGGATGTAACAAAGATATTCGACGGAGTCCCAATGGAATTCACATTTGGAACCCTTGCAGTAGAGGCCATTGGCTCGGAGTCTGTGAAGGACTTCGTGTATGTGTTTTCAGTGATCCTCAGGATTGTCGGAGTAGATAAGGATGTCATCAAGGTATATGACGACAGATACATCGAGCATATCAGAAAAGATGTCATTGACAAAATGTTGGAAAGCCGTGGGAGCGTTAGTGAGTCCAAATGGCATGACACGCCATTCAAAGGAACCGTAGCGGGTCCAAAAAGCGGTTTTCCATTCATCACCCTCGGCTATGCGGACGAGATGATAGGCATGGCGAAGGTCTAGCTTGGTGTAGAGACGAGCAGAACGCGTGGAATCGAGAAGGTCGGATATGAGGGGCAAAGGGTAACGGTCTTTTTTAGAGATTTTATTAAGTCCACGGTAATCTACACAGAGTCTTAGTTCACCGGTTTTCTTCTTGACAAACAGTACCAGAGCTCCGTGCGGAGAGTGGGAAGGAGTGATGAAACCATTACGGACGTTATCGTCAATAAACTCGCATAAGGCTTTTAGTTCAGATTTGGAAAGGGAATAGATGGGTCCGAGCGGAGGGGTGGAGCCTTCCTCAATATTGATCTTGAGGTCGTAAGGGTGATGCTCAGGGAGCTTTTCAGAAAGGGAATCACTGAAGACATCAGCAAATTCATGGTACTCCGGTGGGACATCGGATAAGTTAGTGGGAGCCGCAGTGGTAGACTTGCCACTAACACTAGGCGTAGAAGGCTGCAATGTGAATTGCTGGGCTCCTTCTTCTGCACAAGCTCGGACAAAAGCGGCAGCCGAAATAATAGATATCTTGGGGGCGGCCGAAGCACCAAAGGAAGGAATGGTAGGGTAGGAATAGATAGGTTCATAAGGCGGCGGAGCCCGTCGGGATCTCGATTTTGGGGTGGAACATGATGATTGGGATGGTTGGATTGGACTGGAAGAGTCTGAGTGTTATGGATCTCGAGTCTTTTCAGGTCTGTACACGAGTCAACACATGCCTGCTCTCGGCCTTCTCGGCCTTCACCTCAGCTTACTAGTATTTTCTCCTACTTTCTCTATTCTTCTTGCCGATACTGGAATACTACAGAACTTTACAGAATAATACGGACTTGAGTAGCATATAAATACTGTCTTTACCTTTGTATTAGAGATCTTAAGCTAATTTTACTCATCTTCGAAGTCCACTTAACTGTGTGAACTAAGCATCTCTGATCGGTTATGCCAAGTGCTTGCCAATCAATTGCTTCCCGACTACACCTAGTGCTTTTCGGAAACCCTGTTAGTTACACCTAGCGCTTGCTGATGCCCCGTTAACTACGCCTAGCGCTTGTTAACACTCTTACGGATCCCTCTTGGTGGTTGGAACTCGGCTTTTGGACATCCTCACCCTCAACTTAGGTTTTACTCGAGTATTCATTACTTTGTGTATTAGCTCAAAATACTCCGATTCTTAACATTGGTGGACACATTGGGACCACCTTGTAGAGGGAATCGTTTTATTCATTATTTCCTACTCGCTTTCGCACCTTATCGCGCCTACTCACACTGAATTCAATTACTATGCCGGGACCCATTTCAACAATCCATTTACCGGCTTCACAATCTTCTCCCCCAACTCAGCATTTGCCTGGTGATTCGCTCAGCTTTCCAGATCCTCCAGCACCGCTTGTGTTTCCAGTCGACCCAGCTGACATTTCCAACACTGATAGCGGGAAGGTTACTCACTTGTGGCCATCCTGTGTTCCCCTCTTTACCTTCGCAGAACATTCATGTTTGCAGGAGCGTAAGGATCGGATTATACAGGTACTTAAGCTCAGCAAGAACAAGAGACTCGGGAATAACCTACAAACCACCAGTGATCATGTATTGAAGCATAACCAGTACACTGAGACCTTCTCAGAAGAAACTTGCATGCTAGATTTCCTTCTTACATCCGTTTTTGCCTGCACTACATTCACAAAAGATGTTGTGTACAAATTGGATGAGAAAATCTATCGAGATCTTCACACCCTATTAACAACTCGCCATGCATTAGCTTCCTCGTCACTCAATAGCTTTGGTTATTCGGATCTCAGACCACCTGGATGGGCCATTGACACTGTGAAAGGTTTGATGGCCAACGATTTTGAGTTGTATGCCTTCCAGTATCGCATTCGGGTCGAGCATTTTCTTCATATGCTTGATTATGTCTATGACTGGAATAAACTTCAGACACGCGTATACCTAGATGAAAAAATGCTGGCAGCTCAGCGCAATGCTGACAGAGCGCGTCTTGAGAAAAGGGAGTATTACCTTCCTGCTGTTCCTCCTGTATCACATTCCAATCCTTTCAAGTCAAAGACCTCTGTTCAGGCCTCGGCCTCCGACTTGAGTTGGGGGGGAGTACACTATGATGCTTCAAGAGATGAGGAACAGCCTCCTAGCAGCTCACAGGTCGCTAAAATATGCGGTCAGTCTTGTCTTTGTGTGAATTCCAAAGTCAGTGAACCTCACGATTTCGGTCCATATCAACATGAGAGTTTGCCTGCGGCATCCCACCAAGCTCAGATTCCAAAGGACTTAGATTGCAGAAATCCTTCTTCGCACACAAGCATTTACCGAGGACGTTCTCCTAGTGATCTCGACTCGGGTCAAGGTTGCACCATCACCGATGGAAACAAACATCAGTTTCGTCGTGATTCATGCTATTCAAAAATTCCCACATGCTCTGATCTCTCGGAGTATACCAGCATTGATTTTGACACCGCCCTCAAAGCGACGGACATACCTGCTTACAACAGTAATCCAAACACGAGGGATAATTGTGGGAACAAATTCATTATTACTCCAACCCTGAATCATAACATCGGCAATCCAATCATTCCATATTCAAACAATAACGGAATTCGTACTTTCCAAATCGCTTCAAATACGCCGTGTGCACCCTTTTCAGAGAAGAACAAGAATTCTCGATTACCACGTAAAATCAGATATCACATCGACCGGCTGCAGAGACAGCTACAGCGAATAATCCATGCCACCAGCTGTGTCACGTCCACTAATAGTGATTGTCAGCGTATACTGATGGGAATGAGAGAATGCATACTGTGGTTGTCGGGATTTACCATCATGGGAAGCGAAGCAACACGGGTCCCGGTAGGAGTGAATACTCCTGATCTTGATACCTTGCAGATGGTCCTCAATTCAGGCTCGTATATCATGTGTAACTCCCAAACAGCACTTCAGATGCTCTCTATGTGGCCTAGAGTTCGCATCAAGCAGAAGACGAACCTTATGAAGCAGACTGGAACCAAATGTCGGCTACAAAGTCAATGTCTTGTCAGACACGGAATTAAAGTTGAATTTTCCATAGTACCACCGCCTATTGACTGGGAGCTTCGGGTATTTGAGGTTCATGCCTTAGCAGAAGAAGTTGTGAGCCAATCAACCAAGATTGCAAGGCTCCAATCGTACCACACCCAAAAATCTGGTCGTCATTCAAAACATCGACGAGTACCAGGAACAGTCAGAGCCAAAATCTGGCTCGGGATACCTGCGAAACTGCAGCCAACTGTTGGTCATGATAACCAATTTCTTGATGTATCCCTTACATCCTCGACAAATGCTCCCATGATTCCTATTACGCTGGAAGCTATGGCAACGGAACGAGATACGAAATAGCTACTCACAAAATTTTCACAGAGTGGCAAGTTCAATACGGTGATGAGCCTAAACTTCCGTGGCAACGGCAAAAACCAAAACTCTAGAGGAGTTCACGGCAAATGGCGCGTAGCGGCAATAAAGGCTTTGTTGTTGTGCGAGTGTTTCGGTGCACCTCCGTGCGATGAATTCCTCAAGAACGCAAGTATACACTGCGACTTTTCAGTCAGCGAAGTAGTACCCTTAACGATCGAGTACTAGAAAACGTTGGCTGTAAGCCGGAAGGGGTCTCGATAGACGAGAAGGAACGGAATCCGGTATAACTGGGAATACCGGCAAACCGTGAACGAAGTGACGACAATTTAACTAGTAAAAGCCGTGGGCGATGTTGACGGAATTAGAGAAAATGCCGTCAAAGAGAAATACCGTTGGCAAGATAACAAATACCGTGACGGCAAGAGACGAAGACTGTAGTCGAGAAACGAGAAACTGGCAGTAAAACGAAGATAAGACTGGCTGGCGATGATATGAGGGGGAACTAGTGACGGCAAAATGATGGCTGGGACTGGGCTGGACTGAAACTGAAACTATACTGAGGTTAACGACGGCAAAACGAAACTGATACTAATCCTGAGTCTACACGGAGACTATCCTATACTGAAACTGACAGCAAGATACCAAATACCGTGACTGATGATCCTATACTGAAGCTGTCGACCGAAATTCCGTGACAGATGCTGCTGGCGGCAATAACGATCCTAATCTGAGTCCACACGGGGACGTAACGATCCTGAACTGAACTGGGTAAAACGATGGCGACGTAGAAGGTGAAAACTGATGAAAACGATCCTGGCTGGTGAAAGTGAAGCGATGCTGGCGGATTTAAAAGATAAAAGCGAGTTGTGGACACCAAATTCCGTGTATTGGCGCAATATGAGCGTACACCAATACCGTTAGAAGAAAAGCCATGACAGAGAGTATAACTTGGAGTGACTATGTTGTTATTGTCTATCTCCTAGCGAGTACAAGCGATAACGGTGGTCGATAACGTGGATGATGGCTAGTGTCCAGTAACTTCCGTCTAGCAACTCCTACTATACTAGCTTTTATACTACAAGTCCGGAATAAAATTAGAATACTTGAAACGAGTCCTTAGTAAGTCCTTAGTACATCGATTGGTAAGAAATGATACAAAACGCGTGCTCCCAGAGTTCTAAAGTAACAGCACCCACACGGTTTTACCGCGTATAGACTTAGTGATCAGAAAGAATTCCCCCGACATATGGACTCTTGGGCTGCTGTGTTGCTGCGGCAAAGTACACTGAAGGTAGTACACTGAAGTAGATGCGTGCGGCATTATCTTGGCGTTGTAACAGCCTTAGTAAAGTGAGTGGAAAGGTCACGGTATTAGGTCTTTTGCCGTGGAGTTGGTACTTTGACTGCGGCATTCTTCTAAATGATGCTTGATGCTGAGGTCATCGATGGCTGTGCTGGGCGATCAATGATGGTCCTAAATCCGTGAGATCTGCAATCAGGTGCCTGGCAGCATTAATGAAGTGGCGCATATTGATATGGAATACGAGCTGGGAAGGATAGTTGGCGGTAAGAGTGGGTATTGCCGTGATTGCAATCGTTGACTTTAGTGAAAGTCCGCTAAGTGGACAAGGCATTTATTATAATGCTAAAATCCGCGAATTCTGAGCGTACAGAGCCTTGAGGCTCATCAACGGTATCTTTGAAGCGCAAGCTGTTGGAGAAGACTGAGCGCAATCAATTAAATCAGAGCATTCAGCTCATCACTAGTTCAGACAGCGTACCCTGCCACATTTTTATCATGCGTATTGCAGTCTCTCACATCATCCTTTTCATAAATGCCCAAACTAGCCTTCTAACGTGTTCTATGGACGGAGCACCAACTGTGGCACCAACGGAAGTTCATACGAGTGTTGCTCGACATAAACAACGTATCATTCATGCATCACGAAGCAATCCTGAAGCCTTAAGCATAGCTATAGAAGTCCTGATCAATAGAAAACGACGCTATCAGAAGAGAAATCAGTGCACAAGGCCCATGAGGAAACTTGATGATCAAATTCGGAATCCGGGTATCAACATACACAGCATGGTCGAAGTCAACATTGTCCTGGACAAAGAGGCAGGATACTCTGACATACGGGGGAAGGACACAAAGCTGGGCACAGTCTCAAGGGTGAATGAACCAATGGTGGTATCGATAACACGGCAAAAGGAAGACCGTGGCAATCAACATCATCAATATCATCCCCATTTTGGAAATAACTCACCAGCAACTACGCAAGCCGATTCCCTTTGCTATCATCGCACGATGGAGCCGTCCTCCATCCACGCATCTCCCAAACAACATTCTAGCATATCCTGTGACCAAAATTATTTTGAATCTAGTATAAATTTTGAAGCAGGGACACATCATTCAAGGGCTCAAACATTTTGTCGATATTTGAAGTGTTATCCAGTACAAGGAGAGCATCGACATCTACAACACGGTACTAGAATTTCGACCCGTGTTCACTCCCTGATAAGGCAAGGTATCCTATTGCTCGAAAAACATGTCAGCCGAGAAACTCATTGGCAGCAAGGAGATGACTTATCTTATATCTACGTCTCCCAGCTCTTTGTTCTTCCTATTTCAAACCTCTACAACACCCTAACAGTGGTAGTAAACTGGAATATGACCAGACGTGTTCGTATTGCCTGAAAATGTTTTTATAACATTCGTAGGAAAGGTCAGAGGATGGAACGACGACTGTGCGCCACCCAAGACGATCAGCTTCAAGTTGCAAGGGCGGTGCTTGATCCGCATCGAGCCATCAGAAACCAGGCACCTACCATTACGAAAGCCATCTCCAAAGAGAGGGTCAGCATCATCTCCGGACGCGAATTCATCGGTACTTGCTTCCATTACCTTCACAGCTCTATTCTCATCCTGATCTGCAAGGAACTCTCTGAATTCCTTGTCGCATTGCGTGAATTCAAATTTCCAAAACTTCCTATGGTGTCGCGCAGCCCTAATTACCTTAGAACTATGTTCGAGGCTCAGTACCTCCCAGGGATTCGGCACTCACCTCGATGGGAAGTCCCTTGTCAGCTTATTCTGGAATTAATCAATTCCCCTAGCTTTGCAGCTTACCCCTGCCTGCTGGTGATGGCAGAAGATGCAGTGACTAAACAAGAGCTGAAACGAATACTCACAGAACATACACGGAGTGCCGCGTTCAACACATTATTATTGAAGCGCAATTTCCCTGAGAAAACTGAACATGATCAATTAAATCAGAATGTTCAGCTTGTCACTACTTCAAACGACGTACCCAGGGACATTTTTATCATTCCTATGGCAGTATCTCGCATCACCCCTTCTAGAAATACTGAATTCAGCCTTCTACCGCGTTCGACAGACCTAGCACCGACTGTGCCGCTATCAAAGGTTAATACAAAGGTCATCGGGCATAAGCGAAGCAGTAGAGATGCATCAGGAAACGAAGTGAACAATACAGAGACCTTGAGACATGGGCAAAGGCTGGACACAATTTCGAGCGTGGGTGGACCAATGATCGATGAATCGAGCAAGCAGAGAAATGAAGGGGCTCATCATCAATATCATCCCCGTTTTGGAAACTGTTCCCAGGAACTGGCCCTTGTCGATCTGCTTCCTCTCACACAGCTTTCCTCTACCCTCGTACCGTCCGAACATCAGTTGTACACATCCGGGGATGGAAAAAATAGGTTCACTATACTCTAAAGGCTGGCTCTAGGTTTATCTAGCAGTGAACGGCCCGGCAGTAATGACATTCCCGAAGGTTAGTGGAGTTACAACCGCAATCAGCAGGTAGCAGCCGCACTAGCACAGGACAATCAAATCTACGAGATTCACTTCTTCTAATTCTCTTCATTCACTTGATTTGTGCCTCATTCCGGCATATGTAGACTGGGGAGGCCATGTTATGGATCTCGAGTCTTTTCAGGTCTGTACACGAGTTAACACATGCCTGCTCTCGGCCTTCTCGGCCTTCACCTCAGCTTACTAGTATTTTCTCCTACTTTCTCTATTCTTCTTGCCGATACTGGAATACTACAGAACTTTACAGAATAATACGGACTTGAGTAGCATATAAATACTGTCTTTACCTTTGTATTAGAGATCTTAAGCTAATTTTACTCATCTTCGAAGTCCACTTAACTGTGTGAACTAAGCATCTCTGATCGGTTATGCCAAGTGCTTGCCAATCAATTGCTTCCTGACTATGCCTAGTGCTTTTCGGAAACCCTGTTAGTTACACCTAGCGCTTGCTGATGCCCCGTTAACTACGCCTAGCGCTTGTTAACACTCTTACGGATCCCTCTTGGTGGTTGGAACTCGGCTTTTGGACATCCTCACCCTCAACTTAGGTTTTACTCAAGTATTCATTACTTCGTGTATTAGCTCAAAATACTCCGATTCTTAACACTGAGCGGACTGGCACATGTGTGTCAGCAGCCGCAGAAGCACTTGATGAAGAAACAACCGATAATGGTGAACGGAAAGTGATACTGTGCTTTACCCAGTCAATCGACGGATTGTAGCGGGAGAGCCAGTTGTATCCCAGAATGATGTTACAAGATGAATCTAGACGAGTGACGTAGAAGTCAATAGGGAGGATGTCTCCGGAAGGGAAACGGATTGGAAGGGAAATGGATTGGGAGATGTGAGATCCGATGGAGCCATCGAGAAGCCAAAGTTGGACAGGTGGGATAGATTTGGTAAGGAGATTGTGATCCTCAACATACTTCGAATCAACAAAGCAGTGGCTAGAGCCAGAATCAACGAGTGCAAGGAAGCAAAGGATAGTAGAGATGGGTGAACCGTCGGATTCCGATCTGGAGCCGACTTCAGACGAGAGAGAGACAGTTAGGGAATGATTGGAAAGAGCGGCAGCGTTGAGGGTTACGATCTCCAGTGCACTGTGACAGTCAACGCAACCCTGTCCTAGTGCGGAGGATACAGGGTTGCTCTCTAGTTTTCCAATTCCGACGGAACCGTTTCAATAGAGGCAGTGGACTCAGGGAGTAGGGGCAGGAGTAGCTGCAGCTGCACGGCCCCTGAGCGGAGGCCATGGCTTTGCGCTTGTTGCAATCTTCGGTCTTGTGCTTACCTCCGCAGAACATGCAGAGGTTATTCTTCCGACGGTGGTCCTTTTCTTCTTGAGTAAGACGGCCATCTTTGCCTAGCTTGTCAGCATAGGGCTTAGGGTTGGAAGAGGAAGAGTTGTTGGGGGAAGTCGAAGATGATCCCGTGGAGCCCGAATGAGAGGACTTTTGGCTTCGTGGAGTTGGAGTTGGGAGACGAAGAGTTAGAACTCTTTGCCTTGTTGCTGTTGCTGGAAGAGGAAGATGGGTTACTGTGATTTTCTCAGGATATTTCGGCTTTCCGAGTCCAGTAGCGAGCATCGAGCTCTTGAGCGAGATTCCGCATATCACAGGAGATTATCGGGTTTCCCGTGGTGGGCCATATCATCCTTGATGCGAGAGCAAAGGCCACGGTAGAAGGCATGATGAAGGGAGTTGTCGCTGTAGCCAATAATGGCAACATACTGATTGAATTTGACAATATACTTCATGATGCGGTCTCTGTCATGCATCCGAAGATTTTCAAGCTCATCTTCGGCATCACTGACAGCGTTGAAGGGGCTGAAGTTGGTGTGGAGTTCTGAAAGGAAGGCGGTATAGGAATATGCCCAAGCAGGGGGGTTGCGGTGATTAGGGTGGAGGATATCCGGTTCGAACCAGTCAAGGGCGACACCGGAAAGGAAGGAGATAGCGTAGTTGACTTTTGCTGTATCCGATCAGAAGGCGTCGGGACGGTTGTTGAAGTTCAACTGGAGAGAGACGATGAAGGCCTTAAGTTTTTGGGAGTCCTGAACCGTCAAAGGTATCTGGTTCCTTGACCTTGGTGCGTACCGCACGTTGTCGATTGCCATTGACAGCATCGGAGACGCCACGGAGGACATTCATGAGTTGAATGAGGATCTGGGCGTCATTATTGGGAGGATTAGGGTTGTTACCAGGATTGTTGTTAGGTCCTCCTCCAGGACCGCCGGGACCACCAGGACCACCAGGACCTCTGGGGCCACCAGGATTGGGTGGGCCACTGCCAGGATTTCCCGATGGGTTTCCACAGCCATTCATTGGCGTGTGAGGGGGGAATTCCCCGTCTTCCGAACCTTGGTCGTCGTCATCGTGACCTGGGATGTCATTGAACAGAGAGGTAGTTGGGTTCCGTGGGGGGTCGCTTCGATACTCGCCCCAGCCATTGGATTCTGATCGCTGGGCTAGGAAGGGGTTAGGCGATCAGTTAGCATCGGATTGGTGAGCAGTGAAGCCACTGTGAAGGTAGGTTTCCCTACGGGATTGTTGGCGAGGGGAGGAATCCGATCCGAAGAGAAGGGGACCTTCTTTTGAAGCAGAGGCAGGGATATCTTCCATGCTGTAGGTTCGGTTGTTGACCATGGAGTTGCGGCTGGTTTCTGGAGGAACAGTGAAAGTAGAAGACATGGTTAGGAAGAAATTTTGACTCAAGGGTTTGAGTTCGAATATACTGTTAGGATCGTGCCAATAGGATTGCGGCAGTAAGTGCACGTAGCGAAATGCCATGGGATGCATCGGGCATAGGCGAAGCTATTAGCAACATCACCCCTGAGCCGAAGCCCTAAGATGGATATGGACAGAAGTCCGCAGGGTGGTAGAGACGAGGTAAGAGATAAGTCCAACGGATCGGAGTTCCATGGACTGGAGAACGAGAGTTAGACTTAGAGTCAGAGAGAGAGAGATTGGGCTGAACCAAGTTGATATTTGAACTGAGTATCTACAGTGTAATTCTAAGGCTTATATACTAGTTAGGAGTCCGATCTAGTTCCTACTCGGAGTGGTCTACATTCTAGGGTTGTCGGAGGATGTATTCTACCGGTCGGTAGCCGATGGGGTCCGATGACATGTTCACTACCGATGTCGGGCTATTGATAAATTAATATGGAGAAGTGAAATATAAAATGGAATATGAAATGGAATATGAAATAGAAACTGGGAATCGGAATCCGTAGGCTTCCGGGCTGTGGTTTGTTGGGTTGAGTGGAAGTCGGGTTTCCGTCAGTGTAACAAGCATGCCAACGGAAACCCGACTTCCACTCAACCCAACAAACCACAGCCCGGAAGCCTACGGATTCCGATTCCCAGTTTCTATTTCATATTCCATTTCATATTCCATTTTATATTTCACTTCTCCATATTAATTTATCAATAGCCCGACATCGGTAGTGAACATGTCATCGGACCCCATCGGCTACCGACCGGTAGAATACATCCTCCGACAACCCTAGAATGTAGACCACTCCGAGTAGGAACTAGATCGGACTCCTAACTAGTATATAAGCCTTAGAATTACACTGTAGATACTCAGTTCAAATATCAACTTGGTTCAGCCCAATCTCTCTCTCTCTGACTCTAAGTCTAACTCTCGTTCTCCAGTCCATGGAACTCCGATCCGTTGGACTTATCTCTTACCTCGTCTCTACCACCCTGCGGACTTCTGTCCATATCCATCTTAGGGCTTCGGCTCAGGGGTGATGTTGCTAATAGCTTCGCCTATGCCCGATGCATCCCATGGCATTCCGCTACGTGCACTTACTGCCGCAATCCTATTGGCACGATCCTAACAGTTGGCATGCTCGTTACAGTATCCTCCAGACCAGCGGGGCCATACCTAATATTCTGAAGAAATGTTCAGATGCGATCAATAGACTGGTGTCAGGGCAGTCGAGGGAGACAGCCTTTTCTGTGCTAGATACTGGGATCCAAGTTTCTAGGAAGGCTCCATTGGAATCCCTCAATCAACAGATGTTCAGAGCACCACCGGAAGTGATAGAGGCCTTTCAACGCAGTCCATTGTTCAGGGGGGTGCTTCAATCAACTGTAAGGAAGGTTAGCTATTACAGGTTTAAAGAGACAACATATTCCATTTCTTCGAGGCACAGAGGGAACAGTCAGGTATTCATCGATGTCAGCAGAGGCAAAGGCAAAGGCAAAGATGGTGATTGTGCCATCAGCAGCGAAATTCCTGTGGTTATCCGGTACATCTTGCAACCTAATCCCGACGACCTGTCGCAAGTATACCTGGCTGTTTGTCACCTGCAAAGTGTGTCTGTGGACTCTGATCCCTTCACGGAATTTGATATACTAGGTGGAAGGCTATGGAGCCGGAATCTGGCAGATAAACTCGAAATCATCGATGCAAGGGCTGTGAACAAGCACTTTGTCCGGTGCGATGTGATGTGGGAGGATCAGCCAGTTTCTGCAGTCTTACCATTGTCCAGAGTCAGGAAACACGTTCTATCAAGTATCTATACATCTAACGTGTTCTGTTTAGATCCTAGCTCTTATCCCAAAACATGAACCCGAACCTGACAACGTGAGCCACTTACTAGACCAAAGTGCGAGGTTGAGTGCAGAGACTGTTGAAGGCAGTTCATTGGATGTGCTGGACTTGGACGGCCAATGATGTACACATGAAACGGAAGCACGAGTCCATTGTTAACGTATTTGAATAATATTTGGGTCAAGGACATCGAAAATCTGGCAGATGTTTTTAATGCAGGTAAACTTTACATATGTCGGGTCCATCTTGATCGAACGACACCCATAGCATTGCCCGTTTATATATGCACAAGTAAGATATATTGACTTCAAGAACAGTACAGTTTCCTGATAGCAATAGCACATGCAGCTTAGGACTGTAGAGACAGGATTCAAAAACAAAAGATATGTAAGCGCATGTCCGAACAATGTCGCATGTTTACAGAAACAGCAAACATCATTTCTTGTACTGACAGTGATGACTGACCGGAGCTTGTGGCTAAATCAACACTTTCCATGGAGAAACTGCCATTCCTGGAGCAAGAGAGCTTAATTGTAAACCTTTGCCCAATATCGAGAACAGCCTCCATACCTACCCCTTCGCATGCCGAGCAAGATGAGTTGGCGATGCACAGTACGGTTGCCTCTCAGATGGAGATACATCAAGGATTGAGTGAATATACTTGAAAGAGATGATGACGAACATGACAGACATCGCTTGACTGCAAGGCAGGAGCAATGCTGATGAGAACAGGCATAAGAGTCATACAGTGGCAGTGGATAAATCAGCACATTGCCCAGATGCCTATTCCTCCGTCCACAGGATGTCACTATACACGCCAGAACGCAGGTAAAAAAATCGCCAAGATACATTAGAAGACTTTTTCAGATTTCTGTTCCAGAGGACCCCATCTCCTTCTTGGAACAAACCATTAGACAGAGGAGAAGTCTCAGTAAGCTGCACAGTAAAAGAACACCTCTTGCATAGTGCTTAACATAGTCACAGTGTCTACAATGGGTTGGTCATCGAAGTGAAGCAGAAAAGGGAAGTAATATAGAAGCAGGCCCAGCCACTCTGGTGATTGGAGTCAACAATCAACTATCTCACTCTAGGCAAAAAATTTGCAGATGAAATATATGAACTTTTGGTGAAGTCTTTTGGCCACAGTAAAATGAGTTGGGTTTCCCACTAATGGTAGAGCTGATGGATTTTCCAGCAATCCAAAAAACGTCCAGCCTTCATCTCTATTCATATCCTTTGCATCTTGACTGGCATGAATGATTTGCCCACCAGGAATGAGTGTATGACCCAGTTTGTCAGAACAAGACAGCCAACATACCTATACAGTTGCCTTCCTTCCTATCTCATACCACGTCGTCTTGATTTCATATGATTCTTCGATTTTTCTTACAATGAGCTATCCAGATAGATTAGTAACTTACGCTTATTTACCAGAGGTGTATCAGCAGAGGTGGCCAATCAGTCTAGTTTATCAATTTATTAATGTTTCTACAATTGAATTAAGACTCATTCAAGATTAGGGAACACTGCAAGGCGATAAATGAGGTAAAGCAGTACTGTTAGATAGAGTAATAAACATGCTGGACTTCTTGTATCAGTCCCAACCTCCAAGTAGCTACTGAATGTCCGTAGTATATTCATACAAACAAATCATGATGATACCAATCGCTTAAATGTAGATGTCCCTCAGGTCGCTTGATGCACCAATTTCGGTGCTTCCTCCCGTAGTCCTCAGCTAAGCTGCATATTGCGGTGCTTGGAGTCCGCACTCTTGTCTTCAAGACATAGACACGTTGATTCAACATGCAATTCTTCTCCTGTTAATGTATCTGCTCCAAAAGCAGAGGGAAGGACAACAGTGACAGTCCACCAGATAGGTAATTTTGGAGTCATGCTCTTCTCATAGCATATTGAGCAAACATGTTTTCCAGTATTTTTGCCTTTGATAACAACCCAATGCTCATAATTATGCAGGGTAGAGGGCTTCATCGCCTGTACCACCAGGAGGGAAACGAGGACCTTTTTCCTCTTTCCCTTTTTCAAATAAACATCCACAGTGGTGTTGTCTGCATTCAATTGCGTTATCATTGTCATTGGTTTGCCTGAAACCTGTACACGAAGCTCCAGGCCCAGAAGGCAAAGATCAGTAACCCAAAGACCCTGATTGTCCAAGCTGTAGATATCTGGTTTGATGTGCAACAATGAGTCATCAGCAGTTCCACCAAGGGGTGGTGGAGTCTTCGATCATGGGTCCCATGCTGGCGGTAGTGACTCGACCACAGGAGAAGTCGCTCACTCTCAGAAAAGAACACCAACCCTGGAGGATGTGTCCCTGGCAATAATTTCCTCACATCCAGACTCAATGAAGGAACGACAAGGCAAAAAAGCACCCTGAGAGGCTTTGAGCAGCTGGAATAAGTGCAGTGGCTGTCAGGTTCTGTGCAATAAGTAAATGGAAGATTTTCAATTGCATGTTCACTTTCACAAAACTCATGTCACTTCCAGCACATGCTCATAGTTGACCGTGTGTTCTCTGTTTGTGATACTAGGGTCGTAGCTCTCCAGAATGATGACCACTCATAATCTGCTCCCATTATCCTGCCCACAAATAATGTCCCTAACTATGCCTATTTTCGTTCGCAAAGGCGAGTTCTTGCTGTAGATGACCATGTGGATCCCAATCCAAGGTGTTTCACTTGTACTTCTGAGGACAAGACGAGTCAATGATCCGGATGTAGGGCTCTCACAAGATAGCAATCATCTGGTTTTGAAAGATGTGTCAGTGTATATAACATGAATAGTTACACTGAGCTCACGTTTCCTCTACCAGATTACGAGGGTTGATGGTATATTCCTTAGTGTCCTGTTCATATAACTTGATAATGGCACGAGGTCCAATCTGCATCTGAATGACCCTTGTGACTGTGCCTCATTGGCCTTCCAGGTGGTGATTGTAACCTGCAATGATTATGCATACATCTATCCAATTGCTGGTGTCGATGAGATTGCCGTCTTTCCATGGAGGATTGATTTTCTGCATAGTATTTTTACCACAGCTGAATTCCTATCAGCCAACTGTTAATGTCAACTATTGGGAAAAGAAGAAAGTCACCTCGAAGTTACCATCCTCATGTTTCATGAGCATGGATAGGCAGAAATCTGACATGGCTTGAACAAAACCATCCCATCCTCTGTCAACACCATGCACGTAATCTCCAATACTGAAGACCTTGAGCACATCATAGAAAGGATACAGGTGCACTCTGGCACCATCATTCAATAAAATCTCAACACCATGCATGCTCATCACAATGACCCTTCCCTGTCATGCATCATTGCCTTGGTGTAGTACTTCCACTTGCTCATCCTTTTCAAACCACCATTCATGCGGACACAGTGCCCTATGTTCTGTGGCGAGTACAGTGGGATGAGCGCTTTGATGGAAGAGGTTAAGGATTGACAACATGGCAGTTGTGGCTGGTACGATGGCTTCATGGCGACATTTGAGTATCAGCAGTCCATGCTCAATCTCATTCTTCTTGTTCTGGCGAGGTTTAGTGATGGCGTGAATGTCCATACTAGTGCCAAAACGGTAAAAAGTCTTTCCCCAACACCACAGTCCATGCTTGGTATGTGAACGATTCCTATTGCATGTATGAATATACTCCAACAGGAATAATTGCGGCACGACCAACACATCTAACCCCCAGTCATGAATAGCCAAGACACACCCCATATCTCCATGATATGGACCTTGCCTCACAATGACCCAGTCACCCTCCTCAGCTGGCCTTCTTTGCAGCATTCCAAGAGTTGTGGCTCGCTCATCCAAGGGTATCTGTTTGAGAACTGGTCCCCCTTGCGACATGATAACACAGGAGCAGGACATGAGGAGTGCATGGAGGGCCGAAATGCAAGAAACACATTTGCAGGTAAACCCATTTACGAATTCTGGGTATGACGAATGCATAATGTAAACTGTCATCACACACATGTCGTCTTCGGAGGAGAAAGGTCACTAGATGGTCTTGAGTGCCACGCTCTTGAGAGTCAACCATCAAGACACACTGAATACGAAGAAATACTCACCTTGCATCATATGTGCCAGAGGGAAATGCTTGCTGAAATTTCTTGCAGCATTTCGCTATGAGCCTCGTGTTCAATCTCGTGTTCAATACAACACTGTTTGCATGCACGATCAGTGATATTGTGCACATATTGCTCGATCTCTTCACTGCCATTGATATCTGCAGAATTTTCTGGTGAGGATGTCGAAGCTTGCCATGCTGCGGGCTCAGAGTCATCCAAGAAATCTTTCAAGGTGTTAGTTACCACACTGTAGATGATTATCAAATACATTGACCTTCGTATTCGCATTCATCAACATCCTCCAGATCTTCATCCGGATCTCCATCCTTCAGAGCCTCGATATCCACAAACTGCCTGATAGTGCTGAGAGGAAAATCAGCCCAATGATCAAAGAAACCCAAGACTATCCTACCTGAGGTATATATATTTCCCCGGTTGACATCTAACGTCCTTGGACCTTGGCTGCCATGTTTTTATGGTTACCAGTTAACGTTCAAGAAAGAACTCATGATTCTGAGCCACTAGGTTCTGTTACGCCAGGTTTGGGCTAACAGCACATTGGATTAGTGGAGAGTAGGAAAAAGGGTGAGAAAAAGGTCTGGATATGGCCATGGGTGCCGACACTCTGGTTACGGCATATTCTCATGCTTTTACTATGTCTGTCCATGAGTTTGTACTCATTATTTGAGCATGATTTACTTATCCCGGAGTGTCAGCTAAAATATGAACCAATACTTATGCTTTACAATATAGAGGTGTGTCATCTCCTCACATCCTGTCATCCATGCACCTCAAGGACATTTTTCACTGCCAACTTGAATATGATGCACAAACCACATTGGTGGTCAGATGAGTTAGAGGAGTCGGATCAGAAAAGGGGATTGAGCCAATGCGGATGGCAATGCCTTGGAACTAGACAAGCAAGCCAATGATGATACGCCACTACAGGGGGACAAACAAAGCGACCTCTAGGAGACACAGTCACACCCAAAGATCTACAGAAAAACAATGGCTTCATCGAGTTCCAGAGGTGCATGAATATCTGAAGAAGCGGATTTGCAGGAAGGATTTGAATGGTCCTTCCGGACCTGATCCTTACCTCTCAAATGGTTATGTCCTTGAATAAAAATGAGACATGCGCTCGAGCGGGCAGAATGACATGTGTGATGTAGACGTGGACTGGAATGATAGATGGCTCTAAGACGGCTCTACTGCATGCTAGAGGTGTACATGTAAGGCGCAGAGTTGTCCTGGACGACTCTTTAAAGATAGAGAGATAGATAATCAGAGGGCCCAAAAAGGAACGCTGGGGCTCTGTGTCGACACGGAACATGTCACAAACCACATGTGATATTCTCAGACCATCTCACGAATTGCAGGGATAAGTGAATGTATCCCGGAAAATATGCCAGTGACGCGATGCGAGCATCCCACATCATATTGACCATTCACATCTGTCCGCCAATGTATATATGAATAGTGAGCAGAAGGAAGGTACCACATTACATTGGGCAAGAATCGCAGTTGTAAGACCTCACATACAAAGACAAGGCCATTATGCGAACCCCCATCAATGAAGCACACGAACAAGGAATAAAGTAACAACGTCCAAAGAGGTGGAATAAATGTGCTGCCACAAATGTCTTGGAGATGAAAGTACCACATCAAGCTTGAATAGAAGAAACAATCCACACCTGTGCATCATCGCTGATGCCGGTCCGGTCCACGTGCAGTGTAGAACTAAGTGGATAATTCTGAAGAGCTGTTCGCAAGAACGAAGATGAATCAGAGTGAATAGACTTGATAACCCATACAACAGGACTCTGGCGTCAAGTTCAATGACATCTGAATGTGTATGAGAAGAGTTTGATTCCTGAAGGGAGTCGCTGGGGAGTCACTGGACGAGTCATCAGAGACTTGAGATGGTGACTCTGGTGTTCGAATGGACAGTTGCTGAAGACGTCTCAACACGACAAGTAATGGGTGTTAGTTTGCTTTATAATGAATCAGTAAGAGCAGGATCGGGTAGAAAAAAACAATGGACTGACGATAATCCATTATGAGGCCATCTTGTTGGCACGTCCATATGCAGCAGTCTTCATTGGACAAACTCGCAGTATAGTTGGTTTGAGTGATTACCAGACTTCCTCAATGGAAACAAAAGAGATGTGACCTGGTACTGTTTTTTTTTCGGGCAGTGGGGAGAAGAACAGTGTCCAGGACTGGCATGGTACTGGTCATGGTAGCGGCAACCATCAATTCTGAGCTGCTCTTGCCCATGGAATATCGGGAAGAGTTCTCAACATTCACCGTTCGAGTATCATTCGGTTCGATGTCGCCTTTTGATCCATGCAGCATGCGATGACCCTCATATCTGTCAGGATCAAAAATCATTAGAAGCTCAATTCCTCTATCCATCCAGGACATGGGAATGCACCAGCATAACTCTTCGTCCTCTCTTACGGTCCATCCCCATCTTTGATTCCTTCAGTATTCAGGAATCCACTGCAATCTTCCTCGATCTCAGTAAGGGCCTCAAGCCGGAGGCACGATGACTTGCCTCAGTCCAAAGTATGCATCAAATCCAATGAGAACTCGGGAGAATAATGACAACAGTATTTAGCAAGAGCGCTGAATTTCAGTGGATGCCAGTGACAAGAGAAGAAAACCATGGGAATGATTTCCCTTGGCTACATTTGGTGTCCAAAATCCTTGACTCCGCTAAATCCATGGCTCGGGGAGATAAGAACTTTGATGCCCACTACAACTTGCGTTTGCCCCTGGCTTGACTTGCCCTGTCCAGCCTGAGCGGTAACTGTGTCTTCAAACTACTTATCAATGGTTGGCACTTGGATTTACGTTAGCACTACATTTGCAACATGCAGAGCCCTACGGCTCACTGTAGGGGGCCTCCAGGTATGGTCATATGTATTCGTTGTGTTCATTCCCTGAAGCTCGCTCGAAATGGAACTTGCAGGCCGACCAGAATGACATGTCCTTCGAGGACAGGTCTCTTCATGCAGAAAAACAAGGACACAAATCGCCAACATACCGCATATAATACTCGGCATCTGGCATTATACGGCATCGTAAGTAACCCTATCTTCTGCTGTAAAAACTGCTTATACCTGTGCTGATGCCCTGCTGCTCCTTGTTGTCCAAATTTCGATTTCAACAACTTTCCACCAGTGATCGTCCTACCATATGCTCTTTTTCTTCTTATCATTGGTTAGGGCAGAAATGTTTACTGTGGCACCTATGTTTTATGTGCATTGGACGTTCAGCAAAACGATGCTCTTTAAGAAAGGACTGAAGCAATAACTCGTGGTCAAGCAGCCGGAAATCATCCTCAAAATGTCCCTCGGCTAGTCGGACTACTAGTTGCTGTGGCTGGACACTAGCCCGCTGCTGATATAGTATACTCTGAAGTACGCAAATTAGTATTTCGTATTCCTGCATGACATGGATCTAAATCCCTGTGGGCGATCTGACAGTATATCATATATGGGAACTTGAATGGACCTGTCAGAAAAACATGGTATCTAGGACGGAATCCCAACCTGACAGTCGACCAGTTCACCCTGAGGCTAATATGGGCCTAGATTTAGCTTCCTGCACTACCTTAGGGCCTGCCTTGGCATCTGACTCCTCTCTGACAGAGGAACTGCCACCACCGACTAGCTTACCAGGTGGAGAGGTGGTTGCAGCAGTGCTGCATGTATGTCGCATACCTGTATTGCAGGGGGTCTCATTGGGCTAACAGATCTTAACAAAGGTCATATCGCAGGTACACATGGTTCTACAGAATCCTCAGCCCACCCTGTTTCTGCTGCAATCAGACATGATTTTCCAGGCACCACCAGACGTTCAGCAGCCTGTTCAGCAGCCTGTTCAACAGACCATATTTCTGTCGCAATCAGAGGTGCTCTTCAGGAATAAGTAAAATTTCTCTATCGATTTTACCAGTGCATATCAGGCGATGGAATCAGTTGATACCTCAACCACATCATGGGCTGGTAAAACAGTGCATGAGAACTACCAGCAGTTTCGTTCCCAGCAATAAAGCTTTTTTTTTTTGCCCTTTAGAGCGGTAAGAGACCTCTCAAGGCTCTAGAGAATCTCCATCAAAGGTTTGCAAGCATATTTGCTCTGTCTTGTTGAATCAGCCGATGTTTCTACAGTACATCATTGTGGCAAAGCACCAGGATCAAGATCTACATATGGAGGTTTATTCTCAAGAAAGCAACACTATAAGGCATAGGAAACTGAGTGGCTACCATGAGCAGAAACAGAAAAGGTAGCACATTCATCACTCACCATCGAAGATATTGGATCACAAAGAGAAGGCAGAGGAGAAGTATTCCGACGAGACAATCAACATAAAAAATGTCAGTTCCCTCTCCAATGTGGCTAGTCGTGCCTCGAGCATTGTGTTGCCTCTTTTTCAGCGCTGGCAGCTTCAGCTTCCTCTGCTAATTTCTGGACATGCTGACAATTTTCAGAGGCTCTAAGATCTGTCTGCAAGAAAAAGGATCGGAATCGAGGAGATAGGCACAGGACACAATTATTCACTGGCTTGTGCGAGATGGAGATATATGGGCAGTTGCTGCTCATTTCACCACTGAGATGACGATTACGAGGGGAGTATCTTAGTTCTAGAAACATCTATGCTACGCAGGAAACATGATCACATCAAACATAGCCTCCCATGCAAATATCCTTCTCTGAGACTGAGATAACTCCCTCAATTCAGCGAGATGGCATGTCATTCAATTTCTATTGCTTTAAGCAGCAAATAGCAAATGGTTATATACTAGTCAGAAGTCTAGGTCAATGTGGTCCTTGTTTATCTGGATCCTGGTATCGGTAGAGTCCCCATGGTGAATATCTGGGTTCGAGGTGTAGTTTGAAGACAGTTACCACTCAGGCTGGATGGGGCAAGTCAAGCCAGGGGCAAACGCAAGTTGTAGTGGGCATCAAAGTTCTTATCTCCCCGAGCCATGGATTTAGCGGAGTCAAGGATTTTGGACACCAAATGTAGCCAAGGGAAATCATTCCCATGGTTTTCTTCTCTTGTCACTGGCATCCACTGAAATTCAGCGCTCTTGCTAAATACTGTTGTCATTATTCTCCCGAGTTCTCATTGGATTTGATGCATACTTTGGACTGAGGCAAGTCATCGTGCCTCCGGCTTGAGGCCCTTACTGAGATCGAGGAAGATTGCAGTGGATTCCTGAATACTGAAGGAATCAAAGATGGGGATGGACCGTAAGAGAGGACGAAGAGTTATGCTGGTGCATTCCCATGTCCTGGATGGATAGAGGAATTGAGCTTCTAATGATTTTTGATCCTGACAGATATGAGGGTCATCGCATGCTGCATGGATCAAAAGGCGACATCGAACCGAACGATACTCGAACGGTGAATGTTGAGAACTCTTCCCGATATTCCATGGGCAAGAGCAGCTCAGAATTGATGGTTGCCGCTACCATGACCAGTACCATGCCAGTCCTGGACACTGTTCTTCTCCCCACTGCCCGAAAAAAAAACAGTACCAGGTCACATCTCTTTGTTTCCATTGAGGAAGTCTGGTAATCACTCAAACCAACTATACTGCGAGTTTGTCCAATGAAGACTGCTGCATATGGACGTGCCAACAAGATGGCCTCATAATGGATTATCGTCAGTCCATTGTTTTTTTCTACCCGATCCTGCTCTTACTGATTCATTATAAAGCAAACTAACACCCATTACTTGTCATGTTGAGACGTCTTCAGCAACTGTCCATTCGAACACCAGAGTCACCATCTCAAGTCTCTGATGACTCGTCCAGCAATTTTCTTCAACAGTCGAACTCTGGTTCTCACGTGCATTCAGATGCCATGATTTGATGGTGCCCAGGGGCATACTATCAAATCTCCTCAGACTAGTGGTAGGACATCGTTCAAAGCGGCTTGCTGTTCACCCATGTGTAGACCGGGCCGATCCTTCCAGCTCAATGAGTCGCAAGTCTTCCATCTGGCGATGTGCTGTTGCACTCTCCGCTTTTCCTTCTCCCTTTATTGTGGCCATATATGTGTCTACTTATTGACACAAAATATATGGGTAACACCTTGAATGCACACCGGAGACCAAAGAGCCATCATGTTTCACTTCTCATGGCTTCTCGCCGCTTCTCTAACCTCTTAAGTTCAATGTTGAACATATCCCCTCTGGTCCTTGCTTGCTACCTGGAATCACGGATAGTCAGCGCTAGACAGTGGGATTGAGGAACTGATTGCAAGGGAGCCCCTCCCAGTGCGCATACTCATTGCTTCGAAAGACCTTTCCCTATTCCTCCTCACATCAGCCGTGGGCCTTGGCCACGCCTACCAGCATATGGTGACCAGAATTCGTGAAGCCCTGACACCCTATGAGATGTGAAAGCCTCCTGATCACTACCTTCCATCATTCGTTCAACTCCTTCTGCTGGTATCCCACAACAAAGCTTTGAGTTCCAATTCTATGCTGTTGAGCTGAACATCCCGACTCATCCACTAGTTAACATGCCAGACTGCAGGGGAGAAAACTTTCTCACCTTGCAAGCTCATCTTCAAGCTCATGTGAGCATACCGTATGTTCACCAAAGAGAACTTCCACCAGTTAACCTCCCTCTTCAAGGACATCTTCGCATTGTCACGTCTTCCACGATCAGTTGACATATGACGCAGTCACTGCAAGCGAGTGTTGAGTCACCAAAATGCCTGTTCGAGATAACCTGTGTGCAGCTGTCGGCATAAATGTGTCGACCATCATAGCACTGTAAGGCAAAGTTCTACCAATCATATCTCTGCTAACACGCTCTGAAAAGTGGAGCTATTGGTTCAAACACTCCAACATCTCTGGCAAGAGCAGATGGTCCTTATCTGCGTGGAACTCTCAGAAGTAACTGTGCCATCATGGACCTGATATTCCGCTCCGCAACAACATCCATTCTCGGATCTGCACTTTTCTCAATTCAGGCCAAGGAAGCTATCGTTCGTGGCAAGTTTGTCTCTAGTAGGGTCAAATGGTTTGTAAGCTAGATATACAAGAATAAGAATTAGAGGGGTGGATTGGCTGCTGAGCTATATATATGAGGGTTAACATTCGAAGTGAGAGTGAATTACTAACATGTATATAGTATCTAGGGAAATTTTCAGTGAATGTAGAGGACGTTACCCGGTGAACTAATGGAAAAGCAGCGCGACTTGCAAGACTAAGGGGAAACGGAGACGCGATTTTGAACAATATATTGGTATCTTTCTTCTGATCTCAATAATAGCACAGACTGACTGTCGTCCAATAGACTGAATGAGACACTGATTTAATATACTATGCATACTTCTTCAAAATTATGTGATTACGGAGGCAACTCACAAAGCAGGATGTAAGCCCAATCGTCTGTGACGCCGTACCAGAGGTTCGGATGATGTTCACATTCGACTGGTCATCTCTTCGCCAGGAGCCCACCCTCGAGACTACTAACCTTGACCGACCGTATCCTTTCAAGCCCTCTGGGACTGTAGAAAGTCTGGAAGTGCTCATTGATCCTCAAAACAGCAGCGTCGTGGATCATACTTCATCGCGTGCATATATCTGTGCTTGAGACTTGCTTCAAATCACATTCAAGCTTTTTCTCGTGCCGTTCCTTGCTTACTACGCTCACTTTCTCTCATCTCTAACCCTTCAAATATCGTCTCTGTCTGCTTGACTTTCTCTGCTTCAATGACGTCCTGGTTTTCTGTCAAGGTGAGTGGAAGGGATTCGTGCTTCTTCGGGGCTCAAGTCGCATATATGCCCAGGGCGTGAAGTCGACCGTGGAACTTGCACTTTCCGGGAGCATTAGTGTGTATTTCGTCGTTCTTCTTGGGTGTCTTATCCTTGTGCTGTAGATATGTTCGTCCCAAAGCCGGCATTCTATGTGCGGAAGTCGATCGGAAGGCAGCCGTTCTTCGAGCGGGACAAGACCAAGCAAAATCTTTGCAGGAAGCGTGGTGAATCGATACTTGACGAAGCTCTTTGCCACTTCAGCATTCGGGTCTGGTGGTCAGGGACATCCAAGCTCACAATCTCATAAGTAGCTGAGGTTTTTACTGTCCCATATAAAGTCTGGCAGCGTGGGATGGCATTCATCACAAAACTTAAGTGGGATCAAACACTATACAATCAGAGGGTTCAACGTGGCAGGAGCTATGGTTTTCATGGCAGAGTTGTCGAACAGGGGAGTGGATAGTGCGGCATGGATCTATAGGGTCAATCAAACGTCCATAACCTTCAAAACTCACAACTATGAAAGGGTGGTAAGTTGTTTTACCTCTGAATATCCAGTGGATAACTGAACCTTTCAATCAGATTTATTAGCTAGTTACTAGCAAGTCTTGGTATTGTCCTGAAAGCGCATGAAAAAAAAATGTACATCTCATCTTTTTTGTTCTCTTTCTGTCCACTAATATGAGAGAAATATAAGCTAGGGCATACCACACGCTCATCGTTTGTAGATGAAGATTATGATCTAGGCAGTACGTTTGTCAGTTTACCATGAGGTCTCACTTTCTAATTTTTGTTGGCTTCACCAGATCTTGTGCAGCCACATTGCCAGAACGACATTGTCAAGTCGTCTTGATCCTAAGCCAATCTCTCTTCCTATTCAACCCTCTTCACCCCCACACTAATATCTTATTTTAGGCTAGGCTGCGGCTGACTCCGTATCTGGAAGATATCCATCCACTTGCATTTTTGACACATAGCTGATGGTTAAATTCATAGAGAAGCAGGCACTAACCCTAACATATCCACTTCTCAAAAACCCCTACTTTTTGTTCGGGAACGGTGAGCAAGATTGCACATCATGTACGATAAGTTACGGTCTTAGACATAAGAGTTATCGCAGCATTAGGAGATGTATACTATCCTAGGCCGGAAAACTTGGCACAGATGCTTTGAGGGCCAATCATGACTGGTTATATTATCAACCACTCGAGTGAGTTGCAAACTCGTGAATGGAGGGTGGAAGGCATGTCTGGGGTCCACTTAATGGTGCATCCCTAGCGAGTGCCAGCCGAGTCCCCTGTGCGTTGTCTTGCATGTCACTGAGGGACTCGGGGGTGTTATGTATAAAGAAACTTTATGAAACACAAGTAGTCTTTGTATTGGTGTTTCCTTTGTTCTTGCTTGAGGTGTTTTCTGAGGTGTTTCATCAAGGAAACACCTTAAGAAACACAAGTAAAAACATGCAGAGTGTTTCATTTGGTAATTGTGGATACAAAGACTCTTTAAAACACGACCAGAAACAAAGCAAGTAAACACCAGATGTATTTGGTTGCATGAACACATGATGGGAATGACTGATCTAATGACACTATGTCCTTATATAGATGTTTCATGATAAAAACATCAGCAGAAACACTGAACTAAAGATTGGAGGGAAAACCAATGGTATTTCGTTATGTATTTCCAGTAAGGTGTTTACTTTGGGAAAGATATATGTAAACACATGCTGGTGTTTCCTGGCCATATTTCAGGCAAAAACACCGACAAGCCCCAGCAGTGATGGCATCCTTGACATTTTTCCGGATGGTGGGTTTAAGGATCTCCACCATATATTCTTGGTTATGGCGTTTTCCGGCCTGTTTCATGAGTTTTTTGAACTCTCGGAAGAAGTCTTTGGCTGACTTGAAGTCAGACTGTTTGAGGTGTTTGAACTCCTGGAGTTTGAGTTCTACCTCATTGTCAGTGCGGAATTGTCCTTTGATGATCTGTTTAAACTTCAGGTATGCAGGATATCACATATGTCTGCAGTGGTCGTCGTAATAGTCACTTCTGGCATACCCCCACCATTCTAATGCTTTTCCTTCAAACCGTGAGGTACAGAAGGTGATTCGGTGGGGATTCTACCTGTGGTCATTCATGGTGAACTGCTGTGAGAACACTGCAAAGTAGTCTTCGCATTGATCAAAGAACCTGTCTATGTTTGTAGCAACCCCTTTGAAGGGCTCAGGTTCTTTGAGAAGTTTGGGTTTAATATCCTCCCAGGGATTCGTCAAGGCCGTCCCCATGATGTAGGGTGGTGGCATGTTTGGTGGTACCACCAGGTCTGGTGGGATCAGTATTGCTCCTGCTCAGGGTAATGATCATAGCGTGGGATCATGGTGTGGTGACAAGGGGCTCATGGGTACTGCCAGGGCTGCTGGTTGTATAGGGAGTGGCATGGGTGCTGCCCCTTGGCTTCCTGGAGTGCCTGCCCCTCCGAATAGTTGTCCCAGGGCTATGTAACCAGTCCATTGTAGAATGGTCAAGTGGCTCAGGTCCACCATGCTTCCATCAGAAGTATCTGGCAGTGGGGGGTACTGGGAATCGTTCACCGGGGTCTGTATAGTCATCCGGATGAACTTGGTTCCATAGGATATTCATATGGAATATTGCTTCTTGATACAGCACGTTGGCTCCAATTGGACCGTTCTTTTCCTTCTGGAAGTACCTTCCTTGTGGGAATCCGTTCCATGAGATTTCCTTCTGTATTTTCTGCTCCATCCAGTGCAGCATCTCTAAATACGTCATTAATTCTAACTTGGCCTCAGTAGGCTCCCAAGCTAGATCCTTCCACAAATTCTGAGAGTATGTCGTCCTCACCGTACTCGCCTGCCCGGTGCTGCCACTCCAAATCGATGGCGGCGTGTTGCCAGGCTTCTTGAAGGTTTCTTCTCCTTTATAGTCTGACTGGTCGGACTCGCTCGAAAGGCTCCATACTTCCGGTAACGATCTGATTCCAGTTTTGGATGATTCTGGCCCACTCCTGGACTCTTTTGATGACCCTCTTGAAGTCTGGCCTTCGGGGTCAGTCCCAAACCCATGGGGTGACATAGGGGACTGGGGCAGCGAGGGGATGTTCTGCTGCGATCAGGTAGATGGCATATGGGATGATGGAAGAGGGTGGTTCGATTCCTTCGAACATGAGCTGGGCACCGGCGAAGTCCTGTACTTGTCAGCATATATCGCAGCTGGCATCAGTGTCATAGGTTGGTCTGCATCCATCGAGCTCCATGGTGGCTGCCTCGGCTCGGTCATCAATGAGAACCAGGGTGTCTGGTCTCCTGCTGGGCCTAAAGTACGACCCAAGCTCGGAGACAGTTGGGGTTCGTTCTTGGGTGGGGTAGCGCCAGGTTTCCCCTCTTGAATCGAGCCTTGGGGAGACCAGTCATTGTGGGGCCCTGGGAGCTCATTACCCGAATAGTCTTCTTCTGAAGTTCCATCCTCCTCATCTGAACTGCTTCCAGTTCCATCCTCAATCATTCCTCCTTCTCCCAAATGGTATCTAAGCTCTCTTTGAAAGAGGTGCTCCCCATCAGAATCATATCCAGGGTTGGCGGTGGAGTTTTCAGTTGAGGTGGGGGAGGAGCTGTTTCTTTGCCCTTGCCCTTCCTCTTCTTCGGTAATGGTAGAGAGAACATGCTCGCCCATGTACCCTTTGTGCTCATAGTGTCTTGGCTCTTCTTCGACTGCAGTGACTGAGCTTTCTGGTGTGGTCCATCCTCACACATTGGAATCGGAGTCGTCGGAGAGGATGATGAAGCAGATGGGGAAATCCTTGCTGGATCCGCTGTAGGAGGGGGGTGGTGTGTCTTCATGTCTATCCTCCAGGACGGAGGTCTTGACAGGGACAGTTTCTTGGGAATCTGGCTCCTGGTTTCTTCAGTATTCATAGCCATATAGGAATGTGAGATAAGCCAAGGCAATGAAGCCCTGAAGTCCAATGAAATTGGTGATGGTTTGTTCGATAGGGTTCATTCATTCGTCTTCGTCTTCGTCAACGTTGGTGAAGAGTTAGCAAAGTCTTGAACTAATTGTTAGTGACTGATTACACAAACAAGATCAAACAACTAAGCGTGACTCGCACTTTGGTCAGGCACTTATTAGTTGCTCGCAGGTTTATGTGCAGGGAGCTTTCAACTAGTTAATCGAGAAGGAGTTCAGACTAAGTTATCGGGTGAATAAACTTTAGTTTGAGACTGAGGTTTAAGACCTGCAGTCGAGATACTTATATACAAGTTTGGTATATCTAAATATAGTACAAGAGTCTGTAACGATGTGTTAAACGCATGATACCAGCATGTTTTGTGCAATCAGCATTGGAGTATTAGCATATGAGGATTATGATGGAGTTGATAAGATAAGATAAGACATGAAATCATAATAGATACCCCATTTTTCAACAGCTTAGAAGACAAATGAGTACAGAATACTGTATCATTTCAATCGATTCATCAGGCTCTGTGATGTGTGACCTTGACAAAATTTCAGTTTTGTCAGTTGCCTTATATAGGCAGATTTTGTACCACAGACAGCTGAAATTTTAGTATAAATTACCTTTTTAAGGCAGGTATAGGCAACCTCCAGTCACTATGACCTGTGATGAGTACCAAAATTCATCTTTGTCAAGGGGGTCTGTGACCTGTGGCTGATAAATTGATCGAAATAGTACAGTATTATGAAAACTAGCTACTTATATATTTTTTCATGTCCTTCTAGTACTTTTTTTATCTTAGTAACTCTTTACTCAGCAAGACTCAGGCTAACTGGGCATCATGCCAGCTCACACAGTCACAGGGTCATCAATATTCCACACACTCCCTTGAGCTCAGCCAAGAGGATCACAAAAACTGAAAAAATCATATGTTAAAAAAAATTTTAAGGCCTCAATGGACTAACCAACTGACTGCCATGGGAAAAACATACTCACAAGGGAAACATCATATAATCACTCCATGTCAGAGTCATCCACCAGTGCAAGCTTTCCACCTACTTAGTCCTCTCATCCTCAATCTAAACACTGATGGTATACAATTTTTGTCTGCTAGCAACAATGCTTTCCTACTGTACATGACAGACACTTCCAATTTTAGATCTGTCGAACTTGACTAAATATTTTTACAGCTGGTAACTCAATTCTCACTAATCCTGCCAATATCCAGCAGCATGCCCTTAGTGTTTTGAGCCTTTGACATTGTTTTGATCACTTTTCCAGCACTCTTTAGGCCATGTTAGGTTATAACCATTATATATCAGCTGAAATAAACATCTCTAGCAGCTGTAACATGCATGCTGACAGAACCTAATCTCAAGCAACTCCAACAAACTGCATTTCAGAATCCTATGGATTCCAATTCCCAGTTTCTATTTCATATCCTATTTTATATTTCATCTCTCCATTTTAATTTATCAAGTACCTGACATCAGTACATCAGGAAAAAAGTTTTTTTCTGTAATTTGGCCTAACATATAGAGCCGCTGTAGGCTATGTAGGCTCTCGTAGGGAGCACCAAGACATACATAGTTTGTGTAGGCACAAAATATTGTTATAACTTAGGTCACCGCTTTGACATTGAAAATGTTACTGTATTACTACTAACTTCAATGAAGATGTTTTGCTTCTACATGCAACTCGGCACTTTGGGCATAAAACTCTCCAAGCATGATAAAACGGTTAAGACTGAAGCTCTTACACTGCTCAAGAATGGTTGCTGAGCTCCACTCTCTGTTGACAGCCATGCCAAATTTTGGAAGCAAATGGCAGCTCCCCACGATGTTATCCACTGGTATAACTTGGGGAACATGCTCCCAGTATTGGAGGGAATGAGAAACAGAGTACATTTTGGTGTCAGGATGCAGCCAATTGAACGATGTAAACCACTTGACATATGTGAGTACTACAGGAAGACATGATGCTCGAAGATGCTCTGGAAGTTTGAAAATGGCTCTGACTTATGCTACATGAAGTCCTGTATAATATGAGCATCATTTTTGGATCAAAATCGCAACACACACCCTCTAGTGAAGTTCCCTTGGTATGTATATTGCTAACCTCTTCATCACAACAAACGAGCACAGTATCAAAGTGTGCAGAGGGTTCCTCCTTTCTTCCTGGACCAGATGGGACAGCAGGAGTTGCTCGTATGCGACTAACTTGATGGTAATGTCTGACTGTTGAAAGATTAGGTATTGGAATTGTAAGGATCTTGTAAAGGTCAAAGTGATCAGTCATGTTTAGCAGTGTGAGCTTGCAAGGTGGTGGGTAACAGTGAATGATATAGCATTGGATGGCATGGAGGAACTGGGGTGCATGAAAACATGATCCGATATCAGCAATTGTGAGTTGAGAGAAAGCAGGCATGACAGCGACTCTGAATTTGGAGTACGCAATTGTCACACTCATCACCATTGTGACAGCTGTGACCATTTTGAAACATAACCTTCATCTCCATCTTCTGCACCATAGTCTTCACATTCTCCCTCCTCCAAACCAATGCTCATATACCTCAGCTTTCTTGTCTGTCCTGAGATTCCCAATCAAGATATGCACGAAAGCGAGCAGCCACCTCTTGCCATCCCATCCAAGTCGTCATCTGCTTAACATAGTCTTGCTTGTTGCTGGCACAGTATGCCTCCTTGGTGAAATCGATATGCAAGCACTCTGAGTTTTCAGTATTGTATCCATCAGGCAAACCATGAGATTGTATGGAGGCATAATAATGGCTCATTTGGTGGATTTTTGGTATGTTAAAATGTTCCTGAACTCCAGCATTGATAATGATGGATTTGTTTTCATGGAAGATTTTGAGAGCTTTCCTGAGGGCATCAAGAGTTGCTGATGTGTGGATGTGGAGTCGTGAATAGTATATGAAGTCAATGATGGCGACTGCCATTTGCAGCACTGCTGGTTGTACCACACTCTGGAGGACTCCAATAAAAATGTGTTGCATTTCCTTGTGCTCCTTTCCTGTCCACTGAGAAATGAACAAGATCTCTTTTTTGAAGTGCCGCAGACCAGGGAAATTTGGAAGTCATTTGAACCGCTCATTGATTTCAGGTGTCAACACAATCTTCATGCACCAGTCAACGAGATGGTCTTTAAAGACCCCCTTGTGCAGCTGATGAAGGATGTCAGGGGTAAAGCAGGTAAATATATCGCAGAAGGGGAGGTCTTTCCAGAAGGGGTTCCAGACAGCTCAGAGATCTTCTTGTGTAAAGGCCTGTACTCTATGCCCTGTCTGCTTATGTTCAAGAATTACTGATGTTCATTCAGAATCTCGAAGGAGGGAATCAACCAGCTCACCTCTATCCTTGGGTTCAACATGACATTGTGGACAAAAACTCTCCTTGCAGCATGCAATCAGACACTGTTCAGGAAAATCGGCAACATATGCAGCAAGCAAGGGATGCACACGGTGAACAAGACCATCAGCACAAAGGATCTCAACGCCATCTTTACCTGCCTTCACAATTGGTGACAGAATGCATGACATGCAGTAATGAAAGAGCCGATATCCTGCAATGGAGCATGTCTTTGCATCAAAGCATTCAAGTTTTGCAACAGGAAGGTATCCAATGAGCACTGTTGCATGAGCCGTTGGATGATGCCAGATGGCTTTGTCAATATTTCCAAGTGTGAGATAGACTGGCCAGGCACTCTTGTCTCTGCAGAATTGAGTCAGCTGCATCTTGTCTGATGACAGGATCAATGCAGCAATAGTTGCACCGATAGGTAACTTTTTCTGTTCATTCAATTTTGTTCAGTTCTCTCTGTTAATTCTAGAGAATCAATGACTCACCTGTGTTGCCCACCACCACTCTCCAGTCCACATCTGATCGAAGATTTGATTTGTGCCATCCTCATCCACAAATGCTTGCTCTGGAGCATAGGCAAGAAGCTCGCAGAATGCAGGATTACCCATCAGTTCCTTTACACATTCGATTGGATCGTGGTGCCACAACTCGAGATCTTCACAAGCAACTTTTCCATCTGCATCAATTTTATCTCTCTTGACCGTTACTATATTGCAAATCCAGCCTGCTGTCTGAGTGGGAAGCTCATCAATTTTTTTCATGAAGGTTCAGCGGTTTGTATATGATGGTTTGACACATTGCTGAGTCTGTGATAGTAGTCATGTTATCGCCCACAATCAAATAAAATCAGGAAAGCTTACAATGGGTAAGTTGAGGAATGCTTCAGCTTGCATCTGACCAACATTTTTCAGAAGCCATTCCGCTAGCTCCCACTCCTCTTCATCAGTGAAGGGTCCCTATGCCATACTATCTTGATGTAGTTTCTCTCTAATTGTCTTGAATTCTGTAACACCACGGCCAACTGGTACCCCTGCATGGAGTTTGGGAGGGCATGGACAAACATAGCGACTGGTTGAATCTGGTAGATCATCTTCTTCATCGGGAACATCTTTCACTGTTGTTTGCCATGGTCATAATGATGGTTCCAAGTCAGCAGTGTGTGAAGATGCCCTAGGCTCATTGAAATCCAGTGGCTCAATGCTAAAACTGTTTGCATCCATCTCTTCCACTTCAATATCAAGATCAACATCTCCAAAGGCCTCATCCTCATCAAGGTCGAGTGGCTCCTGCTCATTAGCTCTAACAGGTTCTTGAGGTGCTGATGTCTTTCAGGCATCAAACCCTCACTGGGTGACCTCCGTCTTGTGATCAGCGAGACATTTTTTAGAGTGGCCAATATGTCTGTTCAGTTCATTGGCAGTGAGGAACAGTTTGCCACAGTGTGGACAACTTTTGGAGGGCATCGTGGAAGTCAGGATAAAGGTCGAACAAGATAGAGGTAGCGGCGTTTGGACTATGCCCAAATTGGACATGTCCTTTGTGCCACCTACAGCCCATTGTGACTGCATGAAGGAGGTCACATTTTTTCATGTTTTGTTGAACACTCAATAACGTCTTTTGGGCACCACCACCATTCTCTTATATTTAATTTCCCAACTTACAGGACATCTGCTATCACACCCCGATATCTCAGATGCCCATCAAGCTTCATGCCATGACTCATCACCACAGCAATGTTCAGCACATCCAGCTTTCTCAACAGGAGCCTCCACAAGAAGCCATCTCTGAGCCACGTCAGCAAAAGCCTACGCAAAAACAGCAACAACTCAGTATATTCAATCTCTATTATAGAATATTCCCTTCATTTTGCTCACCATTTTCTAGATAAAGAGAAGTCACAGTGCCAGCAAAAGGCTACTACAGAGGTGATATGTACTGTTCAGTGTCAAGAAGAAATTGCTGGCTTCTCTCGCAGCCAAGGTATGCAAATCTAAAATTAGACAACTTGTTTCTTTGATGCCTCGTTAATCTAGATCTCTATGAACTGGAGTTTGAAGATGACGAGCAAGGACCTGCCCAGCAAGATGATTCAACTATGGTGATTTTCATGTTAATATGACCTGTCAAAATAATGTTTTAATGAGAATATTTATTCAGTTCAGCACTCAAGAGGCTGTCATACCAAAACGCAATCCAAACCTGAGCCGCCATGCTCCTTCTGTCACAGACCAAAGTCTGCCACACCCTGTAGTAAGAAATATAACAGTTCTATTGAGTTTTTCCTGACTTTCATATCAACGGCACCATAGTCATTGAAATGTAATCCTAATCTTGTCCGTCGCACTGGTGTGGTCCCTCTTCCTCCCAGTGACCAAGGTCATCTGGATTCTAGTGGTGGGCACAAGGCCAACATTTGTTATTCTTTTGCTAGTTTTTTACACTGTGCTGATATTTTATGCTATAGACAACCAAAGAGCAGGATGGCATAACCAGTGGCAGCAGGACCATACACATCTCCTGTTTAGCACTTTTATGGTACAGGAGAGGGAACATACTATTCTCCTGATGTGCTCAATGATCCAAGTGTTTACAGTAAGACTTTGCTCATCTATCAATTCATGTGCGTTAATCCCTTTGGCATAAACAGTGAGTGATGACAAGTTTGGCACTCATTGTCCACTGAGCACATATCTGCAGCCCAAAAAGATCTTCTACCCAGACACTCATCCCAGTCTTCAAGAGTTTCAACAAACCAGCCAAATCCACACTGTAACAGCTCCTGCAGCTGCGCAAACTTTTTGAATGCCAGCACCTTCATCTATGCTTGGTGTTTGTAAGGTGCCACCTACAACAATTTCTGTGGAAACCACTCATGTTGTCAAATCGACTAAAGTGGCTACTGGAGGAACTCGTGGATGCACTCAGACCTCTGACTTTGATGAGCTGACTAAGGTGGTCCTTGAAGATGCGATCACTGTATACAAAGGAAGACTCTTCACACACAGAGCATTCCTTGACCATTCACAGGAGTACGACTTAGCAGTGGAGTCATTTGTGCTTGTCTGCAAGGCCAGGAAGATCCAAATGGACATCGAAAATGATCTAATGAAACTGGTACGTGATTGCATCACTACATGTTGCAATGCTGACGCTATTTCATAAGATCACCCAGCGCTCTGACCAAGCACGTTGACACGCGTGCAACGCGTTCACACATGTAATTTTGCGAATTCTAGGAATGCAAACATGTGTGTGCCCCGTGAATAATATTAGAGTGCATGTAAGGCATAGAGCGCTACACACTGAGGCAGAAAGCACTATAATAAAAATAATATGAGTAGAGCGCATGGCTTAGACTTAGAACGGCACACTTGTGTCATTTAAGTGTGCAGTCTCAGTGCTTATACACACACACTGTGCCCTCCTCTGCAGTGTATCACTCAATTAAATTCACTGAAGATAATATATTGAAGGTGCTTCGCGCTACATTGATCTATGACGTGCGAACCCTGCCGATCCGGCAATCACCGAGAAACGTCATCCTGAATGAAGAATCAACAAGTCCGAATACTCTAAGGAGTTCTCGGCCAGAGAGAAATAAAACCCGCTGCCCATATGAAATATTAAACTAGAAATGGTTGCACGGCAACCAATAAAATAAAACTCGCTCACTAGATAAGTTGCGTGGCACTGTAATTAAATCCGTGGAGCCAATAAGAAGACACACGCCGCATGGCACGACGAGGCTAGGCCTTGCCAAGTGGAGAAAACAGTGGTAGCACACGCGCCGACACGGAGTGCTGAGTAAAATAATGATTACTATCACTATGGCTGACACGGCATGCAAGGGAAGGGAGTCCGAGGTGGAGCGTTGTCTATTTTCAGTATTTACATTTCATATAGTTAACGGTAAATATAAGAGTGGTAGTTACAGGTAGTTAGCAAGTTTTCAGACCCCCGCAGTTGTACTACGAAGCAGCGCGCTTAGTGTACAACGAAAGGATTTTATTTGAAGCTTCGAGCGAGAGAGTATTATTGAACTTAGAATTATTTTGAACACTCTGAGAGCTTGCGAGGCATGCCTTGCTCGAGCGCACTTGATTCGTTCAAGTAAAGTACAGTAATTGATTGCGCTCTACTTAGAGAATATTGTATTGTGATAACTTGAATGTGCATTTGTGTTTTTGGAACTTGTTTGTGAATTCCGAGTTATTGCAAGTGGCAGAGGTTCGAACCCTTTGGCTTGTCAGTAATCTCTGAGGTTTTTTTGGTTTATTCCCAAGTGGCATAGGTTCAAACCCTGTGGCTTGTGGACGTGTTTTCTATGTTTGTGTATCTCTGGATCGCATAGGTTAGAACCCTGTGGATCTACGAACGGGTTTTGAAGTGTTTTCTGCTTGGAGCGCAAGGCTTTAAGTCGTGTTAAGTGTATTGTGAAACGTTGTGGACACTTGTGTGTTGCACGCGACATATTTTGAGGGTTATACGTTCTTGTAGAACACTTGGGGGCTTGCGAAATAATACTTTTGCCTTGAGGCCGAGCGATTCTGTCGCTCACCTCCTGTTCCAAAAGCATTTGGACTTAGAAGATTATTATATTGCTAAGCACGCTATATTATATTGTAACGTGCAAGGATTATTTCAATACTACTGCTATTGTGTGCTTGTATCACACATCACCCCCGAACTACTGAGGGTTTGTGTGTGTGTGAGTGTGAGTGTGGGTGTGTTAGTGTTATATACACTAGTGCATTTCTAGCTTGGCGCGCACAGAGCCTCTTCAACGTGGAGAATGCAAATCCAAGGCTTGCCCATTGATTGCACCAGCATTTGGTATTGATCCTGAGAAGCCTATTCGTGATGTTCACAATAAGGTGGAAGAATTGCTTGAGTGAACAAATTTCTTATTCAAGGTTTGTCGCTATTATTGTCTGCTGGTCACCCTTCCATTTAAATTTTGAGTAGGATCCAGGTACAAGGACAGAACTGTACCAGAACCCTATCATTTCTGGAGTCATCAATGCTGTCTGGTTCAAGAACAAGAAGGATGAGGGCACAAACAACCCAAACTTTTTAAAAGACGGTATCCCTTTGCCTACAATTGCTTTAGTTTTCATGGTGGTACATGTCTGCTATTTGTGAGAAGATGCCATGTTAATGTGATACAGATTGAATGCTGCCTTGACGAGTGGCAAACAGGTCAACACGTTGATGTCCCATTCAGTGCCGCTTCATACACAGAGAAATATGACAGCCACCTCAAAGCATTGTGTGATTTTGATCAATGCACAAAGGATATGGGTATCATTATGAAGCTTCACCAGAGTTTAGCTAAGAAAGCATGGTGAGTGTCTCTTTATCAATTTTATCAGTCTGCTTATGATCCTGGGTCAGAAAACATGTGAAGATTGTGGATCAGCCTGCCAAGCATATTGTTCAGCTTGATGACGTTAATGTCGAAGCTGCCAAGAAAGATTGGGAAGGTTTCAATGACTCAGAGGATGACAATATCAAGATCAATGGCAGTTTGGGTGAAGGTGAACAGAGCAGCAATTTAGATTAGTGGAACCCTATAAATAGCTACTAGAATGATACGATAAATCACCTATAAAACATTATTTTACCCTATCTGCCACATGCCTAGGATTGCCTATGAAGGACCTATCATATTCTATATACTGCAGAGTGTCGCCTATAAGTATATACATAGGGGGGAGAAGCTTATGGACCTAATGATGCTATATAGGCTTATATAGCCTATGGAGATTTCTTGGATTTTCCTGATGTAGCAAAGTATGTCATCAGACTCCATAGGCTACCAACTGGTAGACTACCACTACCAACCACCCTAGAATGTAGACCACTCTGAGTAGGAACTAGATCAGACTCCCAACTAGTATATAAGCCTTAGAATTACACTGTAGATACTTAGTTTAAATATCAACTTGGTTCAGCCCAATTCTCTCTCTCTCTCTGACTCTAAGTCTAAACTCTTGCTCTTGAGTCCATAGAACTCTGATCTGTTGGACTTATCTCTCATCTTGTCTCCGTCACTCCATGGACTTCCATCCATATTCATCTTAAGGCTTTGGCTCAGGGGTGACATTGCTAATAGCTTTGTCTACGCCTGACACATTCTGTGGCTTCCACTACATGTAGTCTCTGCTGCATTCCTATTGGCACGATCCTAACAGTATATTCAAACTCAAACCTTTGAGTCAAAATTTTCTTCTAAAATCATGTCTTCTACTTTCACCCTTCCTCCAGAAACTAGCTGCAACTCCATGGCCAACAACCGAACCCATACCATAGAAGATATCCCTGCCTCTGCCTTGAAAGAGGGTCTCTTTTCCTTTGGATTGGATTCTGCTCCTTTCCAGTGCTCCCATAGGGAAACCTACCTTCATAGTAGTTTTACTGCTCACCAATCCAACACTAACAGATCACCTAACCCCTTTATAGCCCAGCAATCAGAATCCAATGGCTGGGGCAAGTACTGAAATAACCCTCCATGGAATCTACCTTCTATATCCTTGTTTGATGACATCCAAGGTCAGGACAATGAAGATGACCAAGGTTCAGAAGATGGGGACTTCACTCCTCATATCCCAATGAATGGCCAAGGATGCCCATTGAGCAATCCTAGCAGTGGCCCACCCAATCCTGGTGGTTCAGGTGGTCCAGGTGGTCCTGGGAGAGGTCCTAATAACAATTCTGGTAACAATCTCAATCCCCCTAATAATGATGCTCAGATTCTTGTCCAACTCATAAACATCCTCTGCAGTGTTTCTGATGCTGTCAATGGCAACCATCAGCATGCTATATGCACCAAGGTCAAGGAACCAGATACCTTTGACAGCTCGGACTCCTGAAACTTAAAGTCTTCATTGTTTCTCTCCAGTTGAACCTCACAACTGTCCCAATGCATTCTGATTGGATACAGCAAAGGTCAACTATGCTATCTCCTTCCTTTCTGGTGTCACCCTTGACTGGTTTGAACTGAATATCCTTCACTCTAATCACTGCAACCCTCTTGCTTGGGCATACTTCTATACTGCCTTTCTTTCAGAACTCTGAACCAACTTCAGTCTCTTTGACACTGTTGGTGATGCTGAAGATGAACTTAAAAACCTTCAGATGCATCATGAAGACTGCATCATGAAATATATTGTCAAATTCAATCAGTATGCTGCCATTATCAGCTATGGTGACAACTCCCTTCATCATGCTTTCTACCATGGACTTTGCTTCTGCATCAAGGATGATATGGCTCACCACAGAAAGTCTGATAATCTCCATGATATGCACAATCTTGCTCAGGAGCTCAACACTCACTACTGGACTCAGAGGGCTGAAATCTCCTGAGAAAATCACATTAATCCCTCCTCCTCCAATAACAATGGCAACAAGTCAAAGGGTTCTAACTCTTCATCTTCCAATTCCAACTCTGCAGGCTAAAAGTCCTCTAACTCAGGCTCCACAGGATCATCTTCATCTTCCACCAACAACTCTTTCTCCTCTTCTAACCCTAAGCTCTATGCTGACAAGCTAGGCAAGGATGGCTATCTTACTCAAGAAGAAAAGAACTGCTGTCAGAAGAATAACCTCTGCATGTTCTGTGGAGGTAAGCACAAAACCAAGAATTGCAACAAGCACAAAGCCATGGCCTCTGCTCATGGCCATGCTGCTGCCATTTCTTCCACTCCCAAGTCCACTGCCTCTATTGAAACAGTTCTGTCAGAATCAGAAAACTAGAGAGCAACCCTGTATCCTCCACACTAGGACAGGGTTACATTGACTGTCATTATGCATTGGAGATCATAACCCTCAATGCTGCTGCTCTTTCTAACCATTCCCTAACTGTCTTTCTCTCCTCTAAAGTCAGCTCCAGATCAGAGCCTGACAGTTCACCCATTTCTATTATTCTTCATTTTCTTGCTCTTATTGATTCTGGCTCTAGCCACTGTTTTGTTGATTTGAAGTATGTTGAGGATCATGTTTCTTCTTCAAGTGCTTCTGTGGCTGCTGATGCACATATGCCAGTCTGCTCAGACTCTGCCAGTCCAATCCAAACATCCCAATCCTCATCTTCCACTCCAAAATCGAGATCCTGATAGGCTCCACCATCTTTTGAGCCTATTTATTCCTACTCTACCATTCCTTCCTTTGGTGCTTCAGCTGCCCCCAAGATAT